TGATGGAGAGGAGGTATAGATTGGACATCCGCAAAAACTACTTCACAGTTAGGGCGGCTAGGAGCTGGAACCAACTTCCAAGGGAAGTGGTGCTGGCCCCTACCCTGGGGGTCTTTAAGAAGAGGCTGGATGCCTACCTGGCTGGACTCATTTGAGTCCCGTTTTTGTTTTGGGGTTTTGTTGTTCTCCCGCCCTGGCGGGGGGTCGGGCTAGAAGATCTACTAGGTCCCTTCTGACCCTTAATCTATGAAACTATGAAGCCTGGCTAATACAGCCTATTAATAACATTATAATGAATTTAGCTCAAGAGTTTCCAAAATGGGAGCCTAAATGTATGTGTGTAGGTATCTAAATAAGTGGCCAGATCTTTCAGAAGTGCTGAAGCACCCAGCCATTTCATGGAAGGCAGAAAATTAACAGAGACTCTGCTTCTTGAATGAGGCTGAAGTTGATGAGCTGCTGGAAGTTCTGGAACAGAGACTTAAAATACCATGGTATCTACTTGTTGATTATGGTGACAGCATTACAGATGTCCCATATGCAGGTTCAGCAAAATCATCTATGTTCTTTTTTTGCCATTCAGCAGTCAGTTTTATTTAATGGTTCATTTGATTTGAAGAACTTGAAAAAATACTAGCTTCTGTTCTATTTGAGAGGAGTATGGATTACTTGTAGTTTAATATTTAACAAAACCTGATAAGGTTCTTTATTTGAAACTTGTTATAGTTGTTTTGCTGCATCCATCCCATTTTTTCCTATGCTTTAATTCAATTTTAGGCATGTTGAATTACAGGAAAATCGTACGCTAATGTTAGGTGGTCACTAAACACCTGGGGTCCGTTTGCAACATGAATCAGCCCCTTCCACATACAGGGGGCAACAACTTAGCAAATGTACATTATGCAGATAGAAAGCTGACAAATAAGATGAGTTGGTCAGCTTTATATAGAGGCAGGATATCTGACATGCCCATCTTCTAGAAGTCTTTAGGTTCTGACAAATAAAGCCATTCTAACGGATTACAGCTACCTAGCCACTCCAATATCTTCAGTGTCTAATGTGAGTTGATTCCACTCAATTGCTACTCCCTTCCTCAGTCACTAGTGGCCCTTTCTCATTAAGGCTTTTAGGCTGTCCTGCCACTTTTGTTTGTAATGGTATTTTAATGTTCTCATTATTTCCCTGTTAGCACTTGGGAGGAATTAGCATTGCCAACATTACAAATTGAAATGGGAATGCACAGTCTTGTAGGTAAGATGCCAGAACTAAAGCAGTACAGGTAGATGGATGATTTTGTTTCAGATGTTGGAGGATGTTCAACTACTGTGATACAGCGAAGCCTTGGCACATTGCTGTAAAATAAATATTTACTGCTGCTACCTAACCATTCACAGACATGATAACTAGGTGTACCTACTCCTACCTTATTTATTCTTTTAAAATGAAATGACACGCAGAGTGAATACTTGGCTGTCCAGTCCCTTATTGCCTACTGGATGAGTCCAAAGCTTAGACAGCCCCTGGAGTGCTAGTCAGTAGAGTGAGAGTTTCTTTGTGTTGAGGTGGCTTGGGTAGGTGTACCTGATGCTCACAGTTTGGTTTCTGTTTCTTGGCATCTCCCATCAGGGAATGGTGTTGTCTGCTGAATACATCAAGAAGAAACTGGAGCAGGAGATGGTTCTTTCTCAAGCCTTTGGGCGTGATTTAGTGAGTATTTGCTTTCTTGTGTCCTGCACATGATATTTAGGTGACAGGATTCCCTTATGCCACTGGCATTCTGTCTCCAGCTACATTTTGCTGAAACCACTGTACTAGAATGACTCTTGGTTGCTCAAATCTTCCTCACAATTCTTGCTGCTCCTAGGTACCAGGGGGATGACTTCTTGCATATTCCTTCCATGGTGCTGTTTCTGAAATGTTCTTCACCTCAGTCATGTAAAGCCCCTGAGTTAGCACTTGGGGGAAAAAAATGAAAAACAGAATGTCAGGCTGACTGTGTCAAAATGCACCCCATCTCCAGGTGACCTAGAATAGAGGAGCCTAGGAAAAACTGAAGATTGAATTCTTATGTGTATGTGGTCTTTCTTTAGAGAGTGTTTTGGATCGCCCTGCCCCATAGCACTCATGTGGACTATTCACATTTATGTGTTAATACCAGCTGATCCCTATGTAGATAACTTCCAAAGGAAATGTAAACTATACTCCAACACAACATAATTAACTCTTTTCCAGAGGAGAGTTTCTCTGAAATGCCCGATTCCCTGCTGCAAGATGATTGTCCTTCAGGAACTGGGAAGGAAGTAGGAAGCAACCTAGAAAACAGTGAAGGAGCAGGAGAAAGGAAAGATAAGAAAAGAGGGGTGGTAAACTGTAGGACCTAACAGTCCAGTGTCTAGTTAGCTTATAATGTCCACCTTATAGTGTTTGGCAAACTGATGGAAGAATGTATAGACCGCCAGCCTGCAGATTTCTGTACATCATGTTTATTCCTTTCTGCCCAGAAAGTGAGAATTGACCTTTTAAGTGAGCTTTTACTCATGAGAGAAGGAATTCCACCTTTTCTCTTACAGACCATATTAATCAGGATTTGGACTTGAAAGGATATTCTAGTGTGATAGCTGGGTTTTCTCTTGTATGTGGTATACACAAAGCAGTTGTCATAGTTTTGTCCAGTAGTTTGATCAACTGCTTCACATCAGGGCATTTCATTGGACTTCCTCCTGATAAATGGCTCTATGTGATATGTCCAGGTTTTAGTAAGTGTAAAGTGATGTAGCCTACAAAGAGCTTGGCCCGTAGATGAAAGGATGATGTCTTAGTTAATCTGAGATGGAGAGAGAAATGCATAAGCATTCAAGTGCTGTTTAAAATTTAATTTATGAGGAAGAAATAATTATTTGATAGGCAAAGCATTCATTTCATTGACCTTCTTAGGACACATCATGGCCACTTGGATCTGTAAGCGGAATTACAAAATAGTAGACATGATTTCTTACAGTTCCAGTTTACATCCTAATTCTCTTTTTAAGAGAGAGGCAAAGTTTGGTCATTGACTTTCATAGATTCCACAGACATTAGGGCTGGAAGGGACCTCGGAAGATTATCGAGTCCAGCCCCCTGCCTGAAGGGCAGGAAGTCAGCTGGGGTCATAGGATCCCAGCAAGATAAGCATCCAATTTACTCTTGAAGGTGTTCAATGTAGGTGCTTGAACCACCTCCGATGGCAGGCTGTTCCAGACCTTGGGGCTCGGACAGTAAAGAAATTCTTCCTTTTGTCCAGCCTGAAACGGTCTTGCAGTAGTTTATAACCGTTCGACCTCATCATCCCTTGGGATGCTCTGGTGAACAAACGTTCCCCCAGATACTGGTGGTCACCCCTGATAAACTT